GACTAAGTATGGATATGTCCCCTTTTTATAAAAAAACATCCCAACACTTAGAAAATAATTGAGGCGGGTGAACAGTGTTTTCGGCTACTGAAATTTGCATTTTCTGCCGGACAGGTTTTACGAAAATGGTCATAACTCCTTCATCCTAACGTTTCGATGCTGCGGCGATATGTTCCTGATGAGTCCCATGTGCTCCAGTATGATGCAGTCGAGTTGGATGATCGTTTGACATTTGTAGAGGAGCCAGTTGCCATTCTAGCCAGAGATGTGAGGAGATTGCGCTCGACAGCCATTCCTGTTGTTAAGGTTCGTTGGAGGCATCGTCCAGTCGAGGAGGCTACCTGGGAGACTGAGCAGGAGATGCGAGAGCAGTTTCCCAGCTTGTTTGAGCCCTCAAGTACTTCTTGATCCTTTCTTTTGCGGACGAAAGTCCTTTTTAATAGTGGATATTGTAATGATCCTCCAGGTCATTTCTGTGTCTTGCCTTCTGTGTGTCGTTTAGAGCATTCCTGTAGCGACCCCAAGTCATTTATGACTGGCTGGAACTGACAGTTCGGTCACCTGGTCGTTTGTTTAGTCTTGGTGCGAGTTTTTGTGTTTTGGAGCTTATGAACCTTGAACGATCATTTTCGATCAAAAGTTTAAGAAGCTGACATCGGAATCCAATTCTGCCGATTCCATCAGCTCCGAAAGGGTCATTTTAGGCCAGGAGCATGGTTGACATGACTCCAGAGGATTTCAGTGTGAGTCGGCGCGATCAGGCGTTTTACTTTAAGTTTAAGCCTAAGTTTGACTTTGGTCAACATTCTGAGTAAAGGCGCTCGTATAAGAATTCCGTCAGCGCGGTTAGTTCCGGAATGTTGAGTTTAGTCTGGATTGACCCTTATTTTGTGTCCCGAGTTTTTCGATATCTTTTCGAGCCCTTTTGTGGGTTTTGACTTAAAATGGCCTTTGGAAGTGGGACCCACTTTTTTATCGAGATGACCTCTGATGGAAATTTCGACTACGCCGTTGAGTCCGGAATATCAAATTTGGTATGGTTGCATATCTCGTTTGCATGTACGGAGTTCCGGAAAAAAATTGCAGCAAATCCGTTATTTAATGCAGAAAAACAACAAACTTTTCCAAACCTTCAAATTCTCATAACTCTCTCATCTTTTGTCCGAATTAGGTGATTCGAAGTGCCGGATCTTCGTATTTTCGATGAATTTTCTGTAGAATGTTCAGAAGTTGTTGGGTGCACGTAGTTCGAGGTAATTCATGATTTACCTGACTATTGTACCTCTTTTTTGAGCCTTTGTTTTTGGCATTCTTGTTTTGGTCATATATCTCTCATTTTAGCTCGGTTATGGGTGATTCAAAGTCCCACGTGTTAATAATCGTCGAGACTTCGTCTTAGAGTGTTCAAAGAGTGTTGGGCACCTTTCGATTATCATTTTTTCCGAATTTGGACTGCTGCTGCTTTTTTTCTTTTAGTTGATTAAAGTGTGGTTTCTTGCTTGTTGGTTTTTGCTATGTTTTGAGCCTCGAATTGTGTTCCATTTTGTAACATAAGTTTGGGGTGCTTTTAAGGGTCTCTTGACGGAGTCAAATTTGGACAGTTCGGTGCGTGTCCCACGATTCCCATTTTGACTCCAAATTTGACCTGTCTCCGTTTGTTGTGAATTTGGTGTCTAAACGATCGTACTAACGTTGTAAACCTATATTTGATAGAGTTACAGCGTCCAAAGGTCATTAGGGAAGGAAAAGCTCTGGCAAAGTTATTTGGAGTGCGCACGGTCAGCCTTAAGGTAGGCTACGACTTTCTTTCTTTTAGATTGAGCTTAACTGTGTAAGAACATGTCGATTGGAGTGAATTGGGGGTAGGTACCAGTTTACTACATTACTTTGATTAGATACTTCATGTTAGGATCGATTGGTCATATTTCGGGTATAGTATCATGTTAACCGGTTTAGTAGAGTTGCCTCCTTATGTGCTAAATGCTATTGTATGCTTGTATGCTATGTATCGTATGCCTTGTTCATCCTTAACCGTAAGCATGATGCCTTAGTCTAGGTTAGGCTAGCATTGACTTAGACTTATGACTCGTGTGGGCTGGATAGCCTTGACTTGCTGCCGACGGCGTTCGAATGACTTAGCTCCTTGTAGACGGGAATTGCAGACTTGAGTCTCATAGTTTGAGCCTTAGATTAGGCGTTATCTCTACTTGCTGCACTTCTGTATCTTCCCACTCTCATTCTACGGTTCCGACGCATTCTCGAAGGTTTGTTGCATCACTAGGGGCGTGCGATCTAATAGTATAGGCTTGGAGACTTTTCTGTTATGTCTTAGAGTGGACGGCGTTCCACGGTGGTTGTTGCTGGATTGAATCCTATTGGCGATACTATCACCCCCGGGGTCGTTCTTTCAAGCTGTGCTGGGAACGTATCGCTGGCTGGGTAGACTCGGTGATATCGGAGATCGCCCCCGGGCTCTCTTTCTAACTGGGCTGGGAGTGTGCTGCTGGCTGGGTGTCCCTGGGTCGCTCTTTCTAGCTGGGCTGGGAGCTGAATGCATGGTAGGATGACTCGCGATATCTACCTCACTCACGGGTCCCTCTTTCTAGCTGGGCTGGGATTGGACCGTTTAGTTGGGTGGCCCCTAGGGTCACTATTTATAGCTGGGCTCGGAGTGCACTGCTGGCTGGGTGGAGTCTGATGGATTATCTTAGTTACTTTGGACTGGGAGCCCGATTTTCTTTTTTCTGAGTAGACTTAGCTTTTCTGTGTACCTATCGGGCTTATGGGGTTTAGTTCAGGTTTTATTTGACCTTGCGCACGAGTGTACCTTTTAGGCATACGGGGGTCCAGGTAGGTTTAGTTTACCCTAGGCTTTGACCTCTCTGTGTCTAGATTCTATCCTTTCTAATTGTTTTTACCCTTTTTGCTCAGTCGGCCTCTGATGCCTACTTAGTACCTGCTGTATTGGTACTCATGCTACGCTCTACATCTATTTCGTGATGCAGGTCCCAGTACCAGTTACTAGCGGTGATTAGTTCCAGCCTTCTTTTCCAGCTGTGATTTGGAGACGAAAGCGAGCACTTGGCATTTGGGTTTGTTCTGTCTCCTTATTTTTTTTTCCGCTAATCTTGTTGCCTTTGAAACACGCTCTATTGTGGTCCACTTTTGGAACTTGTACTCTTTATTAGATAACTCTGTACTTGTTATTTCCAAGTTCTGGGAGGGATTTCTGTATATATTTATTTTAGGTTCTTTCCGCCTTGTTATTCTTGTTTAGATTATTGTTATCTTTAGTTTCTGCCCTTTCGCTCAGTGCTTGATGTTCTTGGTTACGGGTTCGCTTACCTATTGGTAGGGTATAGTAGGTGCCATCATTACTCGAGAAATCGGGTCGTGACAAGTTGGTATCAGAGCATCAGGTTCACCGGTCACACTTATACAGAGCTAACGTCTAGTAGAGTATTGCGGATCGGTGCGGAGACGTCCGTAACATTTTTTCGGGAGGCTACAGGATGTCTTTAGAAAGATTTCCTCTTTTGTTTCACTTCCGTACAACATGTGTCTTATTGGTTCCTTAAGATCTCACTTGTTTCACTCTTTCGCATGATGGCTCGCTCGCGAGGTGGCGTGGCCAGGGGTGATGCACCCAGGCCTGCAGACAGATCCCGAGCTTGAGGTAGACGCCGACGCCGAGGTCGAGAGAGGGCCGCAGCATCAGTCCAGGAGTGAGAGTAGGATCCAAAGCCAGTAGCAGACCCTTCAGCACTTGTACACCAGATCAGCCGGTGGGGTTGGGGCTAGCCTAGCCGTCACCCGGACTAGTTCTGACTCCAGATCTCCAGGCCGCTATTGCTCAGCTCTTAGGTGTGCTTGGGGGGATGCAGCATCCACCAGCACTAGTACTGCAGGATCAGCCTACAGTGAGGGCACCTCAGGTCCAGGTACCACCCGAGGAGGAACAACCATTGGCGGCGGACAGACCTATGCCTCTTGAGGACCAGAAGATACTTGGTGTGTTTCTCAGGTTGACACCATCTAGGTTCTCTGAGGTAGTGGGTAAGGATGCCTACGAGTTTCTTACTACTTGTCGTGAGAGGTTTCGCACTTTGGGCCTTGTAGGGTCTAGAGGGCCTGACTTCATTGCTTACCAGCTAGATGGGCCAGCTAGGCAGTGGTTGCGCACATTCATTCAGACCAGGACACTTGGATCTCCACTTGTATGATGGGATTAGTTTTTTGATGCCTTATTGGCCAAGTTCATCCCTCGTAGAGGCATAGACCGCCTCAGGGATCAGTTCTGCATGTTGGAGCAGGGCTCCATGTCAGTGGAAAGTACAAGATTAGGTTCCACGGTGCCAGTTTTGGTTAGACTCTGTAGCGTTCTTGGGGCATGTTGTATCGAAGGAGGGCATTATGGTAGATCCAGCGAAGATTGAGGCTATTCGTGATTGGGCTAGGCCCATCTCAGTTACTGAGTTTTGGAGCTTCGTTGGACTAGCAGGCTACTGCAGACAATTTTTGGAGGGTTTCTCTACCTTGGCAGCACCTC